TCACTATTCTAATAACCCTTTAGAAGCTCTGGACTGGGTTGAAAAACATGGAAAGAAAGTTAATGTTACCAGGTTAAAAAGATCACAACATAAACTAAAGCTTTACCCGATTGATTATCAACTTGCAATAGCAAGTTGCCGAAATAGTTCACCATATTATCCGATATCACAGTTTCTCGTTCAGTCTCCTCCTGACTCGAGAACCCTTGAAACTGTCGATCCTGTATTCTCTGAGAAATGGATAGAGAACTTTGTAAATGAGTATCATATTAAATATGGATTTTTGGAAAATTTTAAGGGTTACTTTACAAATATATCAATCATGGACCTTATTTCTTCAGAACTTTCATACAATAACCCAGAAGAACTGCTGCTAAGATCAACAGATAAAACAAAGCCTTTATTCAAAGATGAACCTTCACCGGAATTATTCAAACAGTGGGATCAATGGTTAATCGAGACACATTTCGGTCAGAAATATCAGATTCACTCAACAAACATTAAAGATTTATCAAAACTTGCTGAAAATATTTTCCCATTGTGTTCATCAACCAATATCAGAACGGGTTTCTCAGAATTGAAAAGCCAATTTCCAGATAAGATTATTTGTGATGATTTTATTGAGACAAGTTTACAGCTTGACCATTTTTCATTATATTTGAAACTCATAAATAGACAAATTGAGTTCGTGATTCGGAACACTTCCAGAAGCACCAGTTACACGGACCTTCTAAATGAACTTAATAATATCTTACATTTTTATTTTATGTGCGCTGACATCGTGATGAATAACATTAATTATTATGATATTAGAAAAGATTCTCTTAAACCATATCATATAATTTTAGGTGACGAGGATAAGCTTCCTAATGAATAATGAATATCACTTAGGTTTAACTTCACATCTTGAACATTTGTTAAATTACAGAATAATGCAGGAGAGGGTCACACAACTTATCGAACTCTAACCGACAACTTTAAACCTTAATATTAAATTAGCAGAAGATTAGAGTCTGCGATTAACCCTAGCTGCCGCAACAAATTGGTACGGCAGATTCTCGATTTTGATTGGCTAAAAGCGACGATCAAAAAAATTAGACTCATTAATTTTACTAATTTT